ACGGCTTCTTGCCAACGACGATCTTGTCATTGAGTTTATTAAATAAAATCTTTGCTAAATTTCCCTTATTTGTATCTGTATCATATCATCACCCTTCTTACCATGCAATTTCCACAGAAGAGTGATTGTGTAGTAGCTTAATGTTCATGCCCAATGGGGCGAATCAAAGCCGCTTCTTGACTTAACTTGACTTGACTAATTAGGCCATTGCCTACTTTCCACTACTTCATTCGGCTGTTGATCACCGGGCTCCCTGCTAGTCGTCTTCCCCATCCTTGAATCGCATCGGTGCAGGATTTTAGACCGTGCAGGCTACAATTGTAACGTGAGATGTTGGTCCAAACAGGAGTACAAGATAATGATGACGAACTGATTTTGTCTCCGTATGCAGCGCATAACTGCGTTTAACTACGCGTGAAATGCCTCCTGTCAAGTCACACACTGGTTGTGATTACTGAGAAATGGACGAAGTCATTCGGCTTAGTCGCTGAGGGTCATCACGACAACTATAGAACTAGGTCCGAAATAGCTTCCTACTGAGTATAGTTATTGGGCTACACTTATATTTTGTAAATCACACTATGGCATAAAGTGGTGACCCCTTTCAGTTATTAGGGCTATGATTCATAACAGTGCTACCAAAATTAATCAATGTGGGTCATAGTCCCGACTAGCTACGGTAACAATAATACAGAAAAGTTGGTTCGAAAAACTGTTGAGTTTTAACTGCAGGGTAAACGGGGTTGTTGCGGGCCAAGTCAAAAAATAAAATAAATTTCAAGGAATTACAAATCACATCAGTCTGGGGAAAAATTACAAAAAATGGTAACTTGAGAGTGCACCTGAAAACCAAGTTGAAAAAAGTAATAACACATGGTCAAAACGACCATCTGACTTTGTTATAAAGCAATGTCTGTCTATACAAACCTGGTGTTCGTTGTAGCTTTTTACGCACTACCGGAGGCTGATCTTTACCAAAGAGACAGTGATATGTTTGTACATCTTTGTATCACTTAGACACTGTTAATCTCGAACGAAATCTTGATTTCAACTTTTAAATAGAAGAAATCCATTGTTATGCGTCGGCCTGTTTCATGACCGTGAATGAATGTCGGTGGATAACTGCTCAAGAAAATCAAACCATCTGAGGGCATCGTTTTGCATAAATTTGCAAATTTGTAGCACTATGTGATTTTTTACGATCCAAATAGGTTATGAGATCTATCCGCTCCTCAGTATACGTCAATTCTAGTGACTACTCCTGTAGGCTAAATTATTGATTGACTGAGGTAATTCACGAAATCGTATCACTGCTGCGGTATGGTTTCTACATTTCTTTGAATTCACGATGAATTGTTGATAATCAAACTGTAAGAGCGAAATTTTGTGCATTCAATCCCGAGTACAGTCTAATCAATCGCTTGAGATTTAATTGATCGAATCCATTGACTCGAGGGTTTCAAAAAACCAACCGAGTGTAAAAAATTAATAAAGTCAGCAAAATTTTTAAATGAAAAACATGAAACCTAATGGTTGAATTGTTTTTTTTTAACTATCAGAAAAACTTTCATTAGAAATCACGCGGCTGAAGTGTAATATTGATTGCATGCGTCATTTCCCCCCTCCTTTTCAGGAAACGACCCTGGAAGTAAATGTGGTATTTATCAGCTTCGAATCGAGGGTACGGCTCACCTCCTTCATAACTCCTTGTCCCCGGACCCGAACGAAAATGGACACGTGACCACTGATCAGTTTAGAACAAGCCGATCACTGCCATATGTGACCAGACGAGATGGCTATTCGCCCGCTTCCAACCAGGACCGATTCAAAAATGTCGTACCTCTTCAGATCACATACCCGTCAATCGAAGCTTCCTGGTTCGAAGAACCTTTGTTTTTAAAGTATTATCGAACTCAACCCTCATGTCGTGTAGAGATGACAGATTTCAATGCGAACCTGGGAAGTACTGGAGAGTTTGACAATCAACTGCGTTTGTATACTTCCTGTGACGGTCTATATGCACCTTTTCTGCAACTTACAGGTAATTTATGGCAATTCTCACAACCTTTACTCCTCGTGATTCCATCGCAAGATTTCGGCTATATATTGTGTTTATGCAGTAAAATAGCTTAGCTGTTTGCATTTCTGTCCGAAATACTCAAATCCATTTCATCACCAGCTTTTTTACACAGCCTTATGGGTGATGCCATCATCATAATCATCATCCTCGGATTCTTGGGAAATACTTAAGTACCAAAAGAGTACTCAGGCTCACACTGCACACTCTGATCCTCTAGATCGATAATGTCTCTCCTGTTGGTCTACCAAAGAGGGGCTAAACACATGGTGGAGCAGTGGTTTAGTCCCTGTCACCGGTTAGCTTTGGGCCCTGTGGTCCGAGATTCGAGCCCCTCCTCCGCAACCCAACTTTGGTGACAGACAGCTTTGCTGCCGCTCGATTCTACACCACGCCTGACCTATCGGAGCCTTATATTGTTCGTCACTCCAAATCCCGGGGATCAGGTTACCGGTCACCATCACTGAACAGCAAGTCCTGGTGACTATGGGGTCCTTCCCGTCTGTTTTTCATCTCACACTGGTGTGTA